GATAATTAGCTTTTGATTGTTTTTAAATTCATTTTCGACAGTTAAAATTTAGCAAATTTTGCCTAATATAGTCACTAACATTCGATAATCAATACGCATCTCAAAACAGAAAACATGAATACGAATTTTTTTTTCTAAATTAAAAAAAAAGAGGATGATGAGAGAAACGCTCTAAATGCCTAAGATATCAGATAAAATTCTATGATTTGTTCATTATGATATTATTTATAATCTATTTTGTTTGAATCAATGTTGTAGTACGGCGCGGCCACGCATCGGTCACCCGCACGTGGGAAAAGTTTCAATTCACAAAAATAAAGAAAACTTTCTCTAAAATCAAAATTGCAATACCGACCGATTATACAACTTGTTACAACCTCTGAGATATATTGTTGATGAGCGATATAAACCTTATTCTTCGTCCGACAAACATTTAAGAAGAGTTTTTGACGAATTTCAGCAAAAAAATTTAGTCTTGAATTCTGTTATAGTTCATTTTTGTCGGAAAAACACACAGAATTTTGAATGCCATTTCGTTGTATGAGTGAAACTAATATATTCGAACGATAAAACTGTCTCTATACTACTCGTAAATCAGAGAAAAGATGAGTTTTCACCATGATAATTATAAATTTTAACGTCTTAAACCTTCCCTATCAGAAGGTCAAAAAAAGGTAAAATTCCATAACGGACACTATTTGCGGATTTTTTTATTTGATTCAGTCATGTTTGTGAAGTAATGAACTGGTATTCTGAAAGATTGTGGAAAGCTGAATAATTGTATATACAGAGTGTTTACTTGTATATCACTTCATTACGTAGTAAAATGCTCAACTATGTGTTAACCCTAAAAAAATTTTCATTTTTTGAAATTCCGTAACGAACAGTATTTGATGAATAACTCAGTTATAACTAATGATAAATTAATGAAATTTTTACTGTCAATAGATCTCAACGACCTCTATCTATGATAAAAATTTCAGAAAGTTTGCTCATATTGTTGAGAAATTACAGAAGTTACAATGTAAAAAAAATGAAATTCCGTAACGCGTGGCTACGCCGAGTATAATTTTAGAATTGATTAAAATATCCTGTGAATATAATACACAATAGAAATTGGATAATTTATTTCAAATTATCATTGATAAATAAATTTTAGTTTCTAAATTTATTTAATTATATATATATATAGAATGTGTTAACATAAACTATTACAAACATAATTTATTTACAATGTCTTCGACTTGCCTTTTTTTTCAAGATATTTCTATTGAATAAGTACAGAAACAACTGGCAAACACCATGTTATTTAAATATGTAAGAAAGGATAGAGATTACAACAATGGTGAAAATGATGTGTGTAATTGCCGTTATAATTAATTTTTCTTCTTTGATATTCCATTCTTTTTTCATTTTCTTTGCCCATCGATAGAAATGTGCACGTTTTGAATGTCCATTCTGAATAGATTCATTGAAAATATTCGGCAATGAAATTCGTACACAGAGTTCATGTAATTGATCGTCAGCATTGTGAGGCATAAAAGCTTCCAACTGTGCGCCTAGCATGATTTGTATCATACATACAGAAGAGATCATAGCAAATATTCGATCAAAATAAAGAATAAGATCAGTTCCAAAAAGAAATATTGTGATAAAAAATAAAGCAAAATAACAGGACGACAAGCGAACAGTACGATGCCATGTATATATAATGTGAATGATAACCCATGAATAATAAACTAGTAGAAATTTAGTCCAGAAAAAATAAACATTTATGTTCATTTGAAGAGAACAAGGCAGATCTGTAAGATTAGAACAACCATTAGCTAAAGTTGTTTTAAGTTCAGCTAAACGAACATTTGTAAAAGAATAAGATGCATATTCGAAACGATCAGATTCGACATACGATGCTCCAAAGCAAACACCAATAACATGTAGAACAAAGAAGAGAAATAATTGACAACAAGTAATTATGGCTGATTTCATAAGATGTAGATCTATTGGTTCTAAATAAAATATAATAAGAAATTCTTTTATTTTTAAAAGAACTTTGATAATTGAAAAATGATTAAAACTCTATTAGGATATTTTAAAATTTATTAATCACTGTTTATAGATTTCACTATTGAAGTTTATCTTTTCTCTCTTTATTATTAAATGTGGCAAGTGAAAATGTCTGATAAATTTTCATTTTTCTTCTTATAGAAGAAGAGAATCAAAAGTATTCATGAAAGCAGATCTTTTTTTAGTCTATTAATCATATCAACCGAAATATATTCAAATGAAAGAAAATATATAAGGCAAACATGTCAGGTCTATTCGTCTTTTCTATTGATCGATTGGCACAAATAATCAGTAGTCATAGGTCTCGATATGGTAAGATAGCCACTCTCACTTTTCATGTCGTGTCTGATAAAATTCCGAGTAATTGTCCGAAAGCTATCTGACAAATTTTAGTCTCTCCTACTCTTAAAAAAGATCGAGAGTCGTGTCAATGCGACCAACTAGACATTGATTCTAGAGATACATCTTGCATTCCGTACAGAATCTATAACACCTCTTCGATATTTAATCAACATATTAAGACGACGGAAAATGTTTGACTTGATGTCTATTACAAAAAGACACCAGAGTATTTAATTTATTACATCACTTATAAAAAAAAAACTCTTTCCAATATTTGATTCTCTTCAAAGACGAAACGAAATTTCTTTATATGAATAAAACTACTAAAATGTGCAGATTGTTTCATTATTTAATCAGATATTTTCTTTCAAAGTTGAGTGTATCTATTTCTATAATACAAAATTTTTGCATATTCTCATTTATTTCATATTTCAATGCAGTTAATAGTAAAATAAAATTCAACAAAGAAAAATTCTACTTTTAACTTTTCAGAATCAGCATCCACTAAAAAAAATCAATCAACTATCTTTTCAGACATGTTGTTAATGAAATATTAAATGTAAGTCTTTTTGAAAAACATTCTCTTATTTGATGATCTTCAATTGACTTACTAAAAGAAAAACAATAATAATAGAATCACTCTAACAGTTAAACCTTCGATATGAAAGACGAATTGGATAACGTCCATCTCAAAGACTGACTTCATATTAAATATTAGTAGTAATATTGAAATTTTATTTTTATCTATCGCCTATTATACAATATATTTATGTTAACAACAAAAAATTTTTAAATTAATACAAAGAAAATTTTTATTATTGTGAATGTAAGGGATAAAAACAAAGATGAACTGTATATAAAGCAACTAACTTTTATTTAACATGACGGTACAATTATAATTAATGTCTATTTACATAACAATAAAAAACAATCATTTTGTTCGAAATGTTATAATGTATAAAACAAAATATTATTTTAAAATTTTTTTTCTTATTCAATCTCTCTTTAAAACAATCAATTGAAGGATGATATAAGACTGTCAAATATTGGATTCAAAATGTATCTGTTAAACTTAATAGATTGATCTATTTTCTAAATAAATAGGGTATTTTATATTTTGTTTAAATTTTGACTACACCAATTTCTATAGTGGAAGGAGGAAATATGAAATAAGATATTTCATAATATGTTCTACTTAATTATTAAAAAGAAGTGTTTCAAAAACATTTAAAATCTTTTCTCGATTTTATTCTCTCCTGTAAAAATGGTCAAAATATAAACATGACTTTCTATCTATTCGCATAACAATATATGTCTAGTTGGCAATATACATATAGTCTTTCTCTTTTTTTTTCTTTCACAGTTCGTGAAAGAAAATCTGAAGCAAAAAAGAAAATGAATGTGTTCTACACCCATTTTTTATCGATTTCTCTTCCTTTTTTTCTTAATCAAGTAATGTTAGGACAATTTTTACATGTGTTTGCGATACACATTTATTTTTACTATTGATTAAGCAATAGTGAGAAATATTTTAATTCGTTTTAACTTCTACGCTTAGAAGAATTTTCAAATAAAAACTACTAGTGCAAATTTACAAAAAATAATATACATTGTTTGATTAAAACTTGTGAATTTATTGAGCTTCATTGAAAAATTTTGACTTGAATAGTAACTATTGAAAAATTTTCCATGTTTATTCTTGACTGATTGTTTTAAAGAGAGATTTAATTTTTAAAAAAAATATTTACTTTTTTCGAACTATTATAGCATTTCGAAAACAGTTATTTTGGTATTTAATTTAAATAGATATGAATTGTTAACGTACAGTGGTGTACAGTCAATTTTAATCTTTGGAATGATTTAGAATAAAAAACAATTTTAAAAGATAATAAACATTTAGTTAAATAGAAATATGAATGGTTACTCTGTGTATATTTTAATCGATATTTCTTATCATGAATTTATAAGAATTCATAAAACGAAGATTTGTGATCATGACTGACATTTTTTAAGAACAGTAAAAGAATATGTCACTGATTTACAAGAAAAATAGTTTGTCTTACGATTTGTTGCATTGTCAAAAACAGAAGTTAAATACAATTGTTTGTTGTGTTGCATAGATTAATTTTTCACTCGTCCTATATATACAAAAATGAATATGTATAATAAACAGATGTATATATATATATGTTGTGGTCAAAATTAAAATTCAGTCAAATTTAAAATTTGCCTAGTCAAAATTGAAATTTTAATTTCGTCTAGGCAAAATTGAAATTTTATTTTTGCCCAATATAATCTCAGTCAAAATTAAAATTTTTTTTGATGAATAGAAGAAAATTAAAAAAAAGAGAGAAAGTTAACATACTAACCAATTTGTTTTTATTTTACAATAGTTTTAAATAAATATCTTACGAATTCTAAATTAATTTAGTCTATCCCAGGTGAATGAATCCGAGACCGAATCCGGTCAGCCAACAAAATTCTATAGAAATCGGGGTTACGAAATCACTAACGGATCCAACGGGCGAGTCCTATTCTATTAGTTGAGTACTAATTAGTATCTTATCCCAACAGTAGAGGTCGGTCAGAGTCGTATGGTGGGATTTAATCGGATTCCAATAGTACGATCCGATCAGATTCAACATTCGGAATCCGAATGTCATTCCGTAACCCAGATTCCCATAGGATGCTTATCCTGATCTTGATTTAACACATTTCGGTGAAGAACGTACAGGCTTTTATGATATTATTGCAGCTTCATCATTACCTGTAATGATTGATGCTGATGATTGTTATGGTGATGTAAAAAATGTAACATGAACAATTAGAGAATATGAAGCACTTGGTACATCGGCTTTGTTTTTTTGAAGATCAACAAGCACCTAAACGATGTGGTCATATTAAAGGTTCGATGTATTTTGAAATTAAGATTCTGCTAGTTGTTTTTTTTTCATAAATACTGTTCTCTCTAGGTAAACAACTTGTTTCTGTTAATGCTATGGTATCAAAAGTTCGTGCAGCTTTAGCAGCACGTTCCGAATCAGAATTTTTCATTATTGCTCGAACAGATGCTATTGAAGCCTATATTCTTGATGAAGCATTACGCCATGGTGAACGATATTTATAAGTTGGTGCCGATGGGTTATTTATTGAAGGTCCACAAAATACAGAACAAATCGAACGTATTGAATGAAATTTTAAAGGTACATCACCTTGTGTTAATATATTTGAAGGTGGTGGTCATATACCATGGGTTTCTCCAAATGAATTATATAAAATGGGATTTTCTATGATTCTTTATCTAACAATAATTTTATTTCGTGTTACATATGCTATTGAACAAGCTATTAGAGATTTAATAGGTGGAAAACAATTATCATTAAAAGATAGTGTGAATTTTCAAATATATGAAGATATTGTTGGATTATCACCATGGAAAGAAATTGAGAAAAAATTTCATCATGAAGATTAATAAATGACTTTTTTTTTCTAATTTAATCATTTATTAATCGAATAATATGTTTTTCTTTTGTTTGTATATAGTTGTAAATAATAAAAGTTATAAATCTATCTTGTGAATATTTTACATTCAGTTTTTCTTTTTTGTTTTTATATAAGGCATATTGCTTTTTTTTGATGATTTCTTTAAAGATCATACTTTTGACAAAGAAAAAGTACAAAATGATCTATGTTATAGGTGACAATAAAACTATTCGATTGTTTTATATAGATATCTTTATCAATATTTTATTCTAATATATTTTCTAGTATATTTATTTCTTTGATAGTTATATGAACATTCGAAAGAATAATATGAAACCTTTTAGAAGGATTAATATACTATGATGCAAGACACACTGATTAAATGTCATATGATCCAATATTGACATAATCTTTTCACATAAATAAAGTACATAATAAAAAAAAATTCACGAAGAATTATTAAGTGCGATTGTTCATGGTCATTCAATATGAAATAAATCTGACTTATTGAATAAGAAGTTTTTAAAATAATAAACGATTATCTAGTAAATTAGCGAGGATACTTCGTCAGATGTTCTATTCTGATTTCAATAATTCTTTTTCTCTATAAGTTCTACATAGTGTTCTAATAAAAATCCTAAAAGAATTTCGATTCCTATTGAAATTTGACTAAGCTATCAAACTTTTAATATGTCTATTTTCTGAACTCAGGTTTTTTCGGAAAACTCATATTTTTGAATTTAGATCTGAAACTTTGTGCA